GAACTTCGCGGGGGACGTGGAGTTGCAGAAACTTGCCCCTTTGTGCCCGGTCTCCTGATGCATGTCAGTGGTTGGGCCGGTTCCGCTCGGCGAGGGGTGGCGTTGTGCCGACCGTTTGGGTTCTCTGTGACCATTTTTGGTTCGTTGCGGAACCGCGTACCCCAGGGCTGGGGGTCGAGGGTCCGGGGGAGCGGAATGGCACGCGCTGTACAGGGACCGGCCTGGAAGCGGACTCGCGGCCCAGCGCTGGGCCGAGGTTCGGGGCGTTAGGACAGCCGGTCACTGGGAAGAAGTTTACCGGACCGACCACAGCGTGTTCCGTTGTTGAGCAGTGACCGTGCGGTGCTGCGGTCTGAGTATTGGGATGCAGTCTGAAAAACTGCTTAAAAAGCCAGCAGAGAAGCGTAAGGATGTAGGAGTCATTTACGAATCAAAAAAGTAAGTGTAGTCAGCTTGGCCCCATTCACTTTTCCTCTTATTAAACCGAGATTTTTAAAAAGCATATAAATATTATTCACATAAAGGATATAAAGGACAAAGAAATCTTGTACATGAAAGGTATGGGAATAGTGTATGGGTACACAATTAGTGCCAAATTCCTTTGTCTTCTCCTGAAGTAGAAAGTGTTCATATGACATACATTCTTGTCGGTGCTGCTAATGGGAGGTCCGCCAGATTTTGTTTCTGGGAAGAAAAGATGGGACATAAGGGCAGATAAAGCGAGTATATGCTCGGTGTTCTTTCACCATGGCGGTGCATTTTTCACCCCCCCACAAAACCCACTTGTAGTTCTAGTTTCTAACAATATTGAGGCCCTTAGAATTGACTTAAATTGTTTGAATTTATTCAGATATAAATTCTGTATTTAGTAGAACTTTATACAACAGGGAAGTGAGTTCACAATATTAGAAGGGGAAAAATCAGAAAGTCTTGTACACAAATGTACTTTACTGTCCATTCCTGAGGAAAGTGACATAATTATGCTCTTTTCAAATTTTAGGACAATTCTTTGTGAAAAAGAGATTTTGGTAAGGAAGTGGGGAAATTGTTGTCAGCTCTTCTCTATGGGGTCAGAGTAATCTGCTTATAAGTATAACTCATTATACTTATTAGATGTAGTAAGATTAATTAGGGAAAAAGCTAGTGTGATTTTTTATTAACTTATTTTCTAAAAGAACTTATTTGTAAAGCAAGTATATATGGTAGCCAAAAATTAAGCTAATTAGCACAAGCCCTTAGGCACACTATTTTAATGTATAGATAAGAATGATTTGAAAAAAAAAGAAAAGAAAGATTTGAACTTGTAGTTAGTATGGTCAGAAGAATGTAAATATATATTTTAAATTCCCTGAAGTTGCTTTAGTTTTTATTTTCCTAGGTAGTTTAGTATTCACTCATCACCTGTTTTGGTTTCAAAATACTCATCTTCTTTCAATAATGAAAATAAATTTTAGACCCGGCTTTATCTGTGTTACATATCCCGAATAATTTAAATTCAAATTTAGTTGGTATTAAGTATTAAATATACTATTTATTTGTGAAGTACTTTTTTTTAATTGTTTTATTGCTTAAAGTATTACAAAGAGTATTACATATGTCTCCTTTTTTCCCCCGCCCTTGACAATCCCCTGGCCTCCCCTACCCCCCAGTGTCTTATGTCCATTAGTTATGCTTATATGCATGCATACAAGTCCTTCGGTTGATCTCTTACCCCCCTCTTCCTGCCCCCCAACCCTCCCCAGCCTTCCCGCTGTAGTTTGACAGTCTGTTCGAGGCTGCTCTGCCTCTGTATCTATTATTGTTTATAAGTTTATAATGGTCTTTATTATCCATGAATGAGTGAGATCATGTGGTATTTTTCCTTCATTGACTGGCTTATTTCACTTAGCATAATGCTCTCCAGTTCCATCCATGCTGTTGCAAATGGTAAGAGTTCCTTCTTTTTTACAGCAGCATAGTATTCCATCGTGTAGATGTACCACAGTTTTCTAATCCATTCATCTACTGATGGGCACTTAGGCTGTTTCCAGATCTTAGCTATGGTGAATTGTGCTGCTATGAACATAGGGGTGCATATATCCTTTCTGATTGGTGTTTCTGATTTCTTGGGATATATTCAAGGTGTTTATGGTGACTGTGTGCTATCTGTGTTTTGAGGACCTTCTTAGAAATTTAGACTTGATAATTTCTTTGGAATTATTAAATATTATTTAAAACCCATAAGATAATGCTTTTGCCAGTACAAACCCTTTGTGTTATCTGCCAGATTTAAGGACCACGGTACAGCTATGGATAGTGAACCAAACCCTGGAACATCTTCTGTGTCGACAACAACCAGTAGCACTACCACTACCACCATCACCACTTCCTCCTCTCGAATGCAGCAACCACAGATCTCAGTCTACAGTGGCTCAGACCGACATGCTGTACAGGTATTTCAGTGATGAAGATGGGTAGGCCAAGACTTAGGATGTCATTATTTTTGCTTATGCCAAATTTTGTTTCATCTCCAATGAATTATATGATATCCTCTAAGTACAGTTAGAATTATTAATGTTCAAAACACTCAAAAAGTTACTTAATAATTATTCTGTTGAGAGGGCTTACATTTGTCAGAGTGTAGCTTTTTTAAAAAAATCTTTATTGTTGAAAGTCTTACATAGGTTCTCTTTTTCCCCCCATTTAACCTCTTCCAGTCCGTTCTTATTCCCCCCTACCCGCCTCCCACCCCTGAGTGTAGCTTTTAAAATATGTAAGGAAAATTATAATTGGAAGCTGTCTAGCTGCTGCTGCAGTATGGAGATACTCAGTCTAGAGCCCCAACATGCAGAATGGCTCTAGGTTTTTTGGGGTTATTTTATATTTGGACCCATAATATAGACTTAGGGAGATCTATTCAGGTCTGTAGATGTGTTAAGAGGTTCATTTTAAACTTAAGAACCCTAAGGAGAAGGATTCATTCTAAAGCTCTTAGGGGCAGAGGTGGAAAGGAATTCTAAGGAGGAAAAATCTTGGGCTCTTCACTTAGTTGAGAAAATTAAATTTACTTGGTTAACCTTTATAATAATGGAAGTTAAGGCAATATGGTGTTGCATATAAAGGACATGGGCATTGCAGTCTGATATGCTCTTTGAATTTCACTTTCTCATTAGTAGTTATATAATCTTGGGTGGGAGGCATAATAGCCTCAGGAAACTGTAAAATGAGGATGAGACCACCACTTTATTAGTTATTATGAGGATTAAAGGAAGCATCTAGAACTGTGTGGGCACATTAGATGTATCCAGTTCGTAATAATAGCTAACATTTATTGAACAGTTTCTATGATAAAAGTTTTGCATGGGTTATTAGATACTATTATTATCTCCATTTTATAAATGGGAAAACTGATGTTTTACTAGTAAGTAGTCTGACTTTCCTAAACTCATAAAGCTAGTAGGGTCTCTGATTCTGGAGTTGCGCCCTTAACCACTCTTTGAGTTCTTATTTTTTTCCATTATACCTGCTTATTCTCTCTAGAATCCCCATAATTGCATTCTACATTGAAAATAACTTTGCAACATAGTCCTCTCCCTATTTATTTTTCTAGAGTGGATACCTCAGTATAATGACTATTTAACTGTTGTATGGTTAAGGATTCTGACGTTACCATGAGTGGAATCAGAATTGTTGGAGACCCAGTCAGTTAAAAAATTCAAACTGGAATGCAGAATGTGTTTTTAATGTTCTTCATCTTTCTCTGAGGCAAGGGATATAGGGAAGAGAATCAAGATCTTTGAACATATAGATGATGTGATATTTTAATATGCCATTTGTTCTCTAGTTTTTACCTGAGCTGGATGTGTTAATAAGAAACAGTGTTATGTACAGCATAGGGAATATAGTCAATATTACCGTAATAACTTTGTATAGTGTGATCACTTCATAAGGTATATAGATGTTGAATCACTGTGTTGTACACCTGGAAGTATTATATTAATACTTTAATAAAAATTTTTACAGTGTTACTGGAAGTATATAGATATAGATATATCTCATAAATAGCACTAACACTAGTTTGCATGATATCCTAGAATTGCTTCCCCTAAAATACCATCAAATCAATATTTATTGAACTAAGTAGTTCTTTAATACCTTCAGCTTTCATTTTCAGTCATTTGAATGTTCTTTATCATCCTCATTCCTTTAGAGCAGGGGTGTGGAACCTTTTTTTTGCCAAGGGCCATTTGGATATTTATAACATCACTAGAGGCCTGGTGCACGAAATTCATGCATTGGGGGGGGGGGGGGGTTGTCCCTCAGCCCGGCCTGCGCCTTCTTGCAGTCGGACATCCCCCGAGGGCTCCTGGACTGCAAGAGGAATTTCATGCCCCGGGCCTCTAGTACTGTTATAATCCTAAATTACTTGATGCTGGTCTATAGTCCTCTGCAACTAGGGGTCAGAAGCCTACATTGATATTGTGACAGAAGTCTGTAGCAGGCTTAGCAATCTGGAGTTGGAGAAATGAGATATGAACAAGTGAAAGTAAACAATACCAAGGAAATATGCTTTCTTGGAATTTTGTGGTTCAAGGTGTCCTGACTCATACCCTAAAGCTGTAGGATATGGCTCTATTTCTCCCTTATCTCTCTGGTTTGATGCTGCTGTTAGAGTTCTATGCTGTTTCAGAGTCACAGTGGGCATGATGTGACTTTGGGATGTGGTTGCAGAGGACTACCATAGTCTGACTTATTGGTTTGGGCAGATAAAGAATTTTTCTCTGTTAATAGAATGGTTGTTTTTTCTGTGTTTATGAAGTTTCAGGCTCAGATTTTATATTATACTAATACATATTTTCAGTAACACTTTTATAGGAATTATTTTAGTAAGAATAGTTTTATTCTATTGTTGAAACAATTGAAACACAGAATCTGACATTTAAAAAACATTTATAAATGTTTGAAAAACTACATTTGAAAGGTAATTAGTAATTTTCTAAAAAGTAAATTGCTTTATAATTTTATGATGATTAATATCATACCTACTCATTCTAAAGTTTTTTCAGTAATTTAAAGAAAAATAGAGCCTTAACTGGTTTGCTTAGTGGATAGAGCATCAGTCTGCAGACTGAAGAGTCCCAGGTTCGATTACTGTCAAGGGTACATGTGGGCTCGATCCCCAGTAAGGGGCGTACAGGAGGCAGTTGATCAATGATTTTCTCTCATCATTGATATTTCTATCTCCCTCTCCCTCTCCCTCTCTGAAATCAATAAAACTATATTTAAAAAAGAAAAAGAAAAGTACAAACGAGAAGGTAAAAATCATCTCTAATCCAGTTTGGTAGTCTTTAACGTTTTCCTGAATATTCTTTCAAAACTTTTAATATAGCCATAGCTGGTTTGGCTCAGTGGATAGAGTGTCGGCCTGTGGACTGAAGGGTCCTGGGTTTGATTCTGGTCTGGGGCACATTCCCGGGTTGTGGGCTCCATCCCCAGTGTGGGGAGTGCAGGAGGCGGCCGATCAGTGATTCTCTCTCATCCATTGATGTTTCTGTCTCTCTCTCCCACTCCCTTCCTCTCTGAAATCAATTTAAAAAACAATTTAAAGTATTATTAAAAAACACACAAACTTTTAATATAAAAGGGCATTTGACTCTATACACTATTTAGTAGCCTGCTTTTTTCACCTTATGATGTATTTGGGAATTCTTTTTGTTAATTAATGTAGATATACTAGTATGTGCTATGTTGTACAGTAGCTACTAGCTTATGTGGCTATTTATATTTAACTTAAAATGAAGTAAAATTAAAAACTCAATTCCTTAGTTGCACTGGACACATTGTAAGTGCTCAGGAGACACATGTGGCTAGTGGCTACTATATTGGGCAGCAGGAGACACATGTGGTTAGTGGCTACTATATTGGGCAGCACTGCTTTGCATTACTATTTGTAATGGCTTCAGGGTTATACGTATTCCTTCCTGTACCCAAGCCCTGAATTCTGCCAAGTTTTATTCAAAATGCTTATACCAATTTACATTTTTATGACCATTTATGAGAGTACCTGTTTCCTCAGTTAGTAGTATTCTTTTAAATCTTTATCCATCTGAAAGTTGGAAAATAATATCCTGTTTTAATTTGTAATTTTTGTCTGCTAATGGGATTGAAGATCTTTTCAAATGGTTGTTTGCACCTTTTTTCTTTTGTGAATAAACTATACAGGGTAGTTTTAATTTGTATGGATTTAATTTGTGCAATCCTAGAGATATGTAATTAGGAGAGAACTATGTTAATAAGCTTATGACAGTGAATAGTCAAGTAGCAAAATTTTAAACTTTCACTTTTTTAATACTTTATTTTATGGTTAAGATTATGGTTTGACATTGGTTCAATTGACTTATCACAGGTAATTCAACAGGCATTGCATCGCCCCTCCAGCTCAGCTGCTCAGTACCTTCAGCAAATGTATGCAGCTCAACAGCAGCACTTAATGCTGCATACTGCAGCTCTTCAGCAGCAGCACTTAAGCAGCTCCCAGCTTCAGAGCCTTGCTGCCGTTCAGGTGAGAGTGGAATAAATGAAAAATTATGAGGCCTAAGTTGACATTATTTCCAGATACTGCAGAAAATAAATGAATTGGGTATTATTTCAGAGTTCAGATGTTTTGTGATAATTTTTTATTAAGGAAATATAATAGGCTGCCAAATAGAAGTTAATTTAAAAAATAATGGATATGTTTTATATATTACTCTGTTGCTTTTTCTTCCACTGCTTTTTATCTACATTGCAGGATTGCTACGCTAGTGTCATGATTTTGCATGTAAAATTTTAGGTATAACAGTGAATACTTAGGATTACGTGAATTATATTTACATTTTAACAAAAAAAGTTGTTTTTCCAGTATGCAAGAAATTTACACTATTGAAAAAAATCAAACGCTATAAAATTGTTTATAAGAGTTAAAGTAGAAGTATTCCTTTACTACACCCACTGCTGTTTTCCACTCTTCAGAGTTGGCCACTGTATCAGTTAATATGTAACCCTCCAGAAATTTTCTGTATAAAGATATGCATATGTACTTTCTAAAATCTAATCACACTATTCCTACTAATAACAGGATGATTTTATGATTAAATGCTTGTGTTTTAAAAAAGATTTTCATTATTATTCTGTTTATTTAAATAAAACTACATGTGAGATTTAATCTTAAATCTTACTGGAGGAGGATCTCAGTTGACTGAACCTGAAAAAGGTTTATATCTGTTGTAATCACATACCCAGCTGTTGCTTTTTCTTGGTAGTGTAATTTTAAGTAACATCGTGTTTGTGATATGAGTTAGGAAACTGAAACCCACTGGCACTTGACGTAGCTTCAATTTCTTTTTTGTAATGTTGCAGTGGTGATTCCACTAAAGAAGATAGAAGCCTGTAGAGTAAAACTGACAATGAGTGCAGCTATTAAAATCATATTACCCTTTGGGTCCTGTTTCCACCATTCAGCTTTTTTGTTTTTTCTTAATCTGTTTGGCCAAAGCTTAATCCATGTTCACTGTAAAATGAATAGCTTCATATATAGACATTTTTACTTTTCTTATGGTTTTGTGGTATCCTGGTACCAGAAAGATTTTAACTCTAGGTTTTTATGGACATATTATAAAGATCTTATTATTTTAGGCAAGTTTGTCCAGTGGAAGACCGTCTACATCCCCCACAGGAAGTGTCACACAACAGTCAAGTATGTCCCAGACGTCTGTAAGTGCCCTAAACTTTTTCCTGGATTTAAAAATTTTAATTATTGCTTTCCAAAAGTAAACCATTAATATTTGCAAAGCTGTTAATTGTATATTTGTTTAAATACTATTTAAGTAAAAAGTACCTAGAAGTAAGAATGATAAGGTTCAAGAATTCAGAACTAATGTTAAACTTCGGAAAATCTGAGTCTAAAAATATTTTTGTTTTACTTCTTATACATTGTTTCCAATGAAGTGTATTCAGGTCTTTTGTGGTTCTAAATGATTGCAGTTTTCAGTATGTATTGAAAGCCTGAAATGTACAATGCACAGGTATTAGGCCATGCATTTACTGTGATATACTACAGAATGTCATATCCTTGGTAGACATCTAAATGTTTCTAGCTTTTTCTCTGAAATTCACATTTTAGAAATTATACATTTCAGCTTATGCTTACTTGAGTTATCTGGGTCAAATTTACAATTAGTCCACTCAAGATAGTATAATTTATTTTGAAAAAGGTGTAAAAGAAAGCTGGTTTGCTCTCTTGCATATATTGTGGGAAATTGTGCAAACTTTCCTGGTTAAAAGAAATTTATAGGCATGGTAATACTTGTTTAACTTTTTATATAATTTCAAATTGCAAGAATAATAAAAAGATTTACTCAGATTTACCAGTTGTTAGCATTTTGGTTCATTGCTTTATCATTTTCTTTCTCTACATATTTACATACTGTTTTTTTCTGAATCCTTTGTGGGTATGTTGAGCCATGTTTCTTTAGTCCTATATATTTTGATATATATTTACTAGAAACAAAGTCATTCCTTTACGAAGCCACACGAAAATGATCAAATTCCGTAAACTTAACATTGCTGCAATGTAGTGTATATTAAAATTTCATCAGTTGTCCTAGGTTTATCAATCTCATCACTATAGATGTTTTGGACCAGATAATTCTTTTTTTCTTTTTTTAATTTTTATTTATTGATTTTAGAGAGAAAGGAGAGAGACAGAGGGAGAAACATTGCACTCATTGGTTGATTCTTGTATGAACCCAGAACCTTGGCATATCGGGACAATGCTCTAACCAACTGAGCTAACCAGCCAAAGATGGACCAGATAATTCTTTGTTTTGGGGGCTGTCTTGTGCATTATAGAATGTTTAGCAACATTAGATATCAGTACACTGTGGCCCTCCCCCTTCCTCCATTGTGACCTCCAAAAATGTCTCTAGGCACATTTTGCCTAATGTTTTCTAGGGACAGAATTGCCCCTTGAGAACCATTGAGTTAACCCTATAATGTCCTTCCTAGCTACTTTTTCTTGATCCAATGTGGTAATATGTTAATGCTTTGTAAAATTAACTCCAACAGAATATTGTTTGTAGATTGCTAAGGAATTGAAGGTGAACTTGTGCTGTCCTTCTTTAGCTAAGGGAAGTATCCTGGAATATAAATAGAATTAGTTAAAAAAGAAATTACTTATGCTTTGAAAATGTTAGACTGAAGGAAATGAAAAATCTAAGTAATATGGCCTTACGTATTGATACTAAACATTTTGTGGACTGGTTAAAAACCTTATAGACCAATTCTTTATTCCATGAAATACTGGAATAACTTTTGACAACATAGAGATACGTGTTTTTAAAATTTTTCACATTATTAAAAGGTATCCTTTTAAACTATTTTTCTTTCATTACGATTTTATGAATGTGACTTTCACAGAAATTATAATTCCAGTGATTGTGCTTAATTTTTATGACATTGTTAGTGCTACTTGTCATAAATTAGGCAGCTTGTGTCCTGAAATATGCCAGAGCCTGTGAGTGGCTGCTGGGGAAAAGAAGTAAGTAGGGAGAATAGATATCCAGAAAAAGAAATAATATATTGGCCGAACCGGTTTGGCTCAGTGGATAGAGCATCGGCCTGCGGACTGAAGGGTCCCAGGTTCGATTCCGGTCAAGGGCATGTACCTTGGTTGCGGGCACATCCCTACTGGGGGGCGTGCAGGTTGATTGATCTCTCTCATCGATGTTTCTAACTCTCTATCCCTCTCCCTTCTTCTCTGTAAAAAATCAATAAAATATATTAAAAAAAAAGAGAAATAATATATTGCATTTGTTTTCTTTTTTAAAAAAGATATATTTATATTGATATAGAGCAGTGGTTCTCAACCTTCCTAATGCCGTGACCCTTTAATACAGTTCCTCATGTTGTGGTGACCCCCAACCATAAAATTATTTTCGTTGCTACTTCATAATTGTAATTTTGCTACTGTTATGAATCGTAATGTAAATATCTGATATGCAGGATGTATTTTCATTGTTACAAATTGAACATAATTAAAGCATAGTGATTAATCACAAAAACAATATGTAATTATATATGTGTTTTCTGATGGTCTTAGGCGACCCCTGTGAAAGGGTCGTTTGACCCCCAAAGGGGTTGCGACCCACAGGTTGAGAACCGCTGATATAGAGGAAGGAAGAGGGAGAGAGAGATAGAAACATCAATGAGGGGAGAGAATCATTGATCAGCTGCCACTTGCATGCCCCCTACTGGGGATCGAGCCCACAATCCAAGCATGTGCCCTTGACTGGAATCGAACCTGGGACCCTTCAGTCCACAGGCCGATGCTCTATCCACTGAGCCAAACTGGCTAGGGCCATTTGTTTTATTTTCTATTCCAGTTGAGCAATAGCTCAAGTAAGTTGACCAGCATTTCAAATTATGATACCCAAGATTGCTTAATAAATTTAGGTCAAGCTCTGAAAGAGGGGCAAAGCATGGTAGCAGAACTCTTTAGGTAGTGACCATAATGATCTGTCCGGTGGCAGACTAGTAGTTTACTTATTTTGAGGTAAGTTTTCAGATAACAGTGAAAGTCATGGGAATTAGTCCAGCCTCCAGTAGAAAAAAGGGATACAAGTTAGTTTGTCAAATTAACAGCCAAATAAGTTGGGGTTTAGAGTAGGAGTGGGATCCCAATGGGGAAATGGAATATTGTATTTTTAAAAAATGGAGTCAAAATCCAGTGATACCACTTGGGAAACTATGTATGTGGAGAAATCTATTCTTAATATAATGTATAGGTAATTAGTGGGTGCCAGTATCCTCTTCTTTCCCCTCATTAGAACAGAAAGACTAATTCTAGATACTTATCAGTAGTGAGTGTTGATTTTATAATTGATTAGCTCTAAAACTAGTTGGAACTGAGCCTTTAGATGTCTTTGTACTTCAACTAAATGAGACTAAGATTTAGTTAAACTTGATTGTCTAAAATGAAATCTAAACCAATTAAAAACTCTTCTGCAAAGGCATCAGCAAAGTTAAAAAATAACAAAATGGTTGAAAATATATTTAAACCATATTTATTAACCAGCTTATGTTTGTGAAATAGCAATGGCTCTTTTATATCAGTAAGATAAACAGTGAGAATTCACAAAATACCTGCATTAGTAATTTTCAAAAGAAAGACTATTTTTAGCTTTTAAATACATGAAAATATATTTATCATATTAGTAATAAAGAAACATATGTAAAACAACAATGACAGACTATTTTCACTTCTCAAATTAGAAAACAAGGAAAAGCATTGAGACAATACCCGTTGTTGGCAAGGACGTGAGAAAGTAGGCAGACTCATTGTTAATGGAAATGTAATTGGTATAGTTTTTCTAGAAAGTTATTTGGCAAGGTGTATAAAAATTTAAACTGTGCATGCCCTTTCATATGGCACTCTCATTTTTAGTGATGTCATTTACTAAAAAGGACAGATAATTATGCAGAATGATATAGATAATTATGCAAATATGCATGGTTTATAATAGTGAGAAATTATAAACAATATACATGTCCTTTAATTGAGGATTAATTTTACAGAGAGACTTAGATTTTCATTAGGTATTAAGTTGAAAAATAGCAAGAATGTATAGTATGATCTCATTTACTTTATCTATTTAGGTTATTCTATTCTTTCAGTTCTAAACTTTCCATTTGGTTCTTTATATCTTCTGTTTCTTTGCTGAGAGTATATTTTTTACTTGATTCAGTCAGGCTCATAACTGCTTATTCAGAGATGATTGCTTTAAAATCTTTCTCAGATAATTATATCTTGTTTTGGTGTTGGCATTTATTTATCAATTGTCTTTCATTCGGCTTGAGAGCTCTTTCTAGTTCTTTAATACAGTGAGTGATTTTTGATTAAAACTTGGACATTTTCAGTATTATGTTATGAGACAGGTTCCCCATTTGGTCTCCATTGATACCCAAAGGGGTGCTCCTCGTAATTGCTGAGTGGGGGGTGAGAGTTCTGGCTCCTCACTGGGCCCCCACTGATGCTTTCCTGGCTGGCAGGGATAGGACTGCTTCCCATATGGTCTCCACTGATTCTGCAGGGAACAGGTGGGTTTGTGGTGGTGGTCTGTTACTGCCTGGCTAGGATTAAAGTCCTGGCTCTCTACCTGCCCTTCTCTGACACTAACCCTTTGGAGGGAATAGGGGATTGGGGTGCCTATTAGTAGGTCTTTGCTGGTGTGGGTGTGGGTGGGGCCACAATGTTTTCTGTGAAGTAGAGCAATTAAAAAATAAAAACTTGCTAGGCTGTCTCTTTCCTGGTCCTTTGGCTAGAAATAGCAGGCTTCTGTTGGGGCTCCTTCTTGTCTGTGCCCATTGATGTTTTAGTGGTACAGTCTTCTTTAGCCCAAAGTTTGGGTTATATGAGAAATAAAGAAATCCCAGGGAGCTTACACCCACATTGTTTACTGGGTCCTGAGGTCTCTAGCCAGTCTGCTTTTCCCACCTTTGGGATTATCTTATGTTTATCTAGGGTTTTTAGTAATAATTAGGAAGAGGAAGAGGGAAAAGTATGTCTATTCCATCTTTCTGGAAACAGAATTCCTGTCATTTAACTTGCTATTTTTTTTTAAAATTGATCTCAGAGAGAGGAGGGGAGAGGGAGAGAGAGATAGAAACATCAATGATGAGAGAGAATCATTGATCAGCTGCCTCCTGCATGCCCC